GCTTCCTGAGCTGTTTCCCTGTGGGGCAGAGGATGACTTGATCCTACCCGGGGAACTTTGCCTGAGACTTCGTGTTCTCCAGAGAAAGTCTCTTTCCTGGCTTCTGTGTCTTTCCACTGTCCACGTTCTATGGCCCCACAACTCCAGCTAGAAGAGAAAGACTTTTTCTTACCCTTTAGACACCAAAAACATCAAGGTTGACCATAATCATTACCATTTCCCTGTAGCCAGAGCAAACCTTCAGTTTTTTGTTTTCGGCAATAAACTGAGACCGCCCTCATTTTTTCCCCTTAAGAAAAACCTGTGAGTGTTTTTAAGTTCATTCAAGCTAGGCAGGCATGATGTCATTAATATGTTCTTATTAACCAAGAATGTAGAATATTTTATTTATTTGTTTTGGTTCCCTAAGAAGTATTGTGAGTTTTCATTTTTATGTTGAGATTTTAAAAGTTTATTCCTATTTTCTTTTTAAATTGTCATTGAGATCAATTAATTAAACAAAGTCAGTGTTTTCTAAGTTTTTTCCTTTTCTGTTTTTCTAAAAACACACTTAGAAAACTTACAGAGATTTTCAAAAATATGTTTGAGTGAGACACTTTTTACAAGGATATGTCAGTTTCAACAATCATAACTTGTTTTTAGTATTTCTATTTGATTTTAGATTCATATTTGTATCAGTATATATTTAACATAATATGAGTCCTATATTCTTCAGCTTTAGTAGGTTGCTATTTTCATTCATGTATGATAAAAATTTCTGTAAAACAAACAAATATTACAAGTTTAACTGATTTTGCCTCTGTGGAGGTGGGTTCTGTAGGTAACTGGAAATTCTTTACAGAATCCCAGAATTTGATGGAATTATTATTTTTTTTTTTTTTGTCTTTTTCATTTTTCTATCGGTACCCGGGATCAAACTCACGACTGCCTGCTTGCAAGGCAGGCGCTTACACCACTGAGCTAAATCCCCAGCTGGCATTAACTTGGGTAGTTCCCAAAGAGCTTATTTTCAAGTCACATGGAAGCTAACATTTTGATCTTAATCTTATAAATCACCCAGGTACATAAAGACCGGTAAAACTCCAGGCTGCTGGAACAGTGAATGAACTATGGTTCAGCCTAAGATGTCACTAAATGCTGGAGTCTGATTTGTATCCCAGATGCTCACCACCATGCAGGATCTTTACAGTTGCAAGAGCATTCCAGGGATTTTCCTCCTTTTCATACTTTCTAAAGCAAAGCTGTCTCCCAAGCCACGGGATGTTCCTTTGAGAATGGCTAAATGCCCTAATCCTCTTACTCGAATACTGATTTACAAACCTTAAGAAGGGGCATATGCCTCTCCAGTGCTTGTTAGCAGCAACTAGTGCAAATCTCTGGCCAGGCCTGTCACCTGACTCAGGATACGACTCTGGGCTCACCCTCTGATTTCTTTCATCCACTGACATTATCTACATGCCTGCTTTGTGCCTTGAAAAACCCAAGGCTGCGGGACTGATCAGAAAATGTTCTCTCCCTTGGAGAGAAGACCTGAATCCTGTAGCTCCCCCCGCCGCAGGGAGTAATGGGAAAATGATACCTCTGTTCCCTTCCAATGTGCAACCTCAGCTAAGCTGAAGAAATTCAAAAATGAGAAAGAAATGAATTCTCCCCAGAGTCCCTCAGAGAGTCCGCAGATGTGAATCCGGTTGGATGCCCAGAAACGTAGATGGGTACCTAAGTTTGAACACACAGAAGGTTAATTCCTTGTAACATTTCTGAAGTCATCTAGTCTGCTAGTTATTATTAGCCCCTATGGCGTTAACATAACCCACAGATTCCTTTTGCAGATTATTAATTTGGCGTGGTCCATGGCCGATTTCACTGAGCGTTGCGTTTTTCCCTGGAAGTTTGGCACCCACCCATGGACAGTGCAATGATTCCACCTTTTTTGCTTCTCATAAAACACGAGGTACTGGAGAGAGGCCATGTTTTCTGAGTGAGTGTGAGTGCTCCCTTCCAACTCCTCCTCAGAGGGTGGTGCTTGGTGTCCTGGGCATTAGCATGAGAATGTGTGAGTTCACGTGGATTTGTGTGTATGCTGTCCGTTCCATCTCCATGGCTGTGGCAGCCTCACTGACCTTAGCACGTTGACAATGAGAATCACATTTCACCCCTTCTCAAGAAAAGAGTGGGCCTGGGATCAGCTGACTGGGGTTCAAAGAGAGCCCTGTTCACGCTGGGCACGTGTCGATGCTCTGGGGGCCCCAGTGGATGCGCTTAATATTGCTTCCAATTAGGAAAACACACCTTGACCTAGTTCTGTGGCTAGTCGGGCTATTAAATGCCAGTGCTAATCTCTCTGAGGCACAGGGCAGATTTGCAAAAACAAACAAGGCATGCCTCATCTTTTAATCAGAGTTCAATCCCCTGCTGCCCAAAGAATGCTGCCTTCTAGATGGCCATGTCCAGTGTGTAAAGCAGCTGTGGGCACTGAATACGTTTCAAGTGCTCAGGAATCAAACATTGCAAAGCCACTTGGTTGATCCACAGAGTAACAGGAGTTTTCCGCCAGAGCAGCAGTTCCAGTGGATGGGGCCATGGGATGCTGGTACATCTTCCCGCCTGCATTTTGCTCTGATTGGTTTGAAGCGCTGGGAGCGTCCGTCTGCTCAGACAAACAGCAGCACACACAGGCTGCGTTCTTTGATTTTATACTTTCACCCAAACCCAGCCTAAGTGTCTAAGATGCACTCAAGTGCGTGTTCCAGAGATTTATCAGCCTGTGATCAATACCTAATTTTAAAAAGAATTATATCATAGGACAGAGGCTAAAAACATGCTATTTTCCTTTGTTTGTGAGTTCTAGTTGATTCATGGTCTGAACAGCCAGTATATTACCTACCTCCCCTGGCATCCCCCGCCCCGCCAGAATTAGATTGATTTTATTATAGGTCCATTCTTCTTTGTTTATGGTGTTGTATCTGTTCGATAAAGAATGCAACTGTGGCAGAGATTTGAGGGTGTAACATGTTATATATGCAAAAAGGGGACACATTGGCTATAGATCCAAGCTAAATAGCTAAGGGTGCATAGTTTATCACGGCTCACTTTGCTGTTAATCTCACATATATCAGAGATCTAATAGGGAACAGGCTCCATGCATCCAGAAATAGCCTACGGACCAAGCTATTGAATGAGTGATACTTAAACATAGCATTCATAAAGTAAGTAATAGAACTGTAGTGCTGATGGAGACCATAGGGATGGCAGAGAAAGGGATGCCAACCCCTCTCTTCAGAAAGGAGAGAACTTTGGTTTCAAGGGGTCAGAGGGTGAGTGATGGTGTCAGGGTTAGATGCCAGCTCCCCAGTTTGCACCTGGAGCTGTGACCCGCATTTTGTTCTCTGCCCTAGGCTGACGGAAGATGAGTGGAGACAGGGTGGAGGGGAGAAGGGAAAGTTGGCTTCTCTCAGATGCAGGATCAGAAGCGCTCCTGGTGTCAGACCAGCATCCAGGCCGCAACATCACAGCCCAGTATCAGAGAGGCCCCTTCTTCTTTTCCTATAGTGGCTTTTTCAAATGTTTCATCTGGCTTCAAAGTTGCAGCCTCCTAGAGTAACCTAAATGTCCAGCCAATGACCTTTCTGGAACTGGATCTGGAGTGTCCTGGCTTGGTTAATTCATTTTCTTTGTGCATTACTCTCTGGCTTCGTAAGAAAAGCTCTAAGTTCCCTTAGCCTACTTCTCTCAAATGGGATCTGAGCGTTTGTCTTACAGACTCATAGATGTGGCTTTAGTGGGAGAGTAAACTGCCTGAAAAGGAAAGTGAAATTCAACTTGCAGTTCCTAGCCTTCCGTAAACTATCAAGGATAAGAACCTCTACAAAAGGAGAAAACCTGTGGTCCTATGTGTGCACGTGTGTGCGTCTGTGGTGGGGGTCACTGGGGAATGAACTCAAGGCCTTGTGTGTGCTACCCAAGAGCTCTGGATTGTACCTCTACCACTTTCTCCACAGCTGCAGATCTGGGAGCAAGGAGAAGGGGCACAGGGGGACCCCAGCCATCTGTCTCTCCCACCAGAGGACTGCCTCAGGCAAACTCTCCATCTCCCAGACTGGAGCACACTGCAACAGGAAAAAGGACCCCATGCCACTGGGCTGACCCAGACGTGCAGCACCCCAAGAAGGTGACAGCGAGAGAGAGTAACACCCAAGGAGGAAAAGGACAGTTTCTGCCCTTCAACTTGGCTGTTCTGTGAGGATGCTGGGAAGATGCGGGTGGGGGGAAGCCATGGTGGGCACTGAAAGGGGACACAGTCCAGGACACGATGGGGGGTAGAGGTCACTAGCCCCTGCCTTGCCTCATTTGGAAATGGCTTGACACTTTCACTGTCCCCAAGGGGCAGGGACAGTGGCCACCAGCTGACCACATGATTTTTACTTTTTGTTTTAGTATTTAGGGACTATATCTTCCAACAGATTTTTTCCAATGAAAACCATGGAATTGAGAAATGTCACACACCCAACTGCAAGAACCCTATACATACTGAACCTGACATTTAAACTTTCATCGGGAATGTATGTGGTGAATTAAAAAAAAAATACTGGTTGAACTAAACACCTGATGATGTGAGCTACTAGTATGTCTGCCCAAAACATGTGATTCTGTTTATTTCACAAACAGGGCCTCCTTATCTAGCTCAGGCTGGCCTTGAACTCATGGTGATCCTCCTGCCTCAGTCTCCTGAGTGCTGGGATTCAGATGTGTGCCACACTGAGGTCTCTTATTAATTTCTGCATGCAGCGTTACAGCTTAGCTGGAGTTGCACACCACTCTCTATTGTTTGCAGACTCTGCCTTTCAGCATCTGTCTTCCAAGGGGGCAGTGGTAATGTAACTTTGGCCAGATGGCTAATGTTCCAGAGAGGAACATCTTCGTAGATTTTTAGGAAATTCTCACAGGTAAAGATACACTTGAAAGTGGTAACATTATGCACCTCCATATTAAGAAACCGGATATAATGATTGGTATATTTTATTTTGAACTTTACATGCGGTGTTAAAAACCCAAAGTACATATTATTTACACATCCACAATACAAGTTTACAAGATATCTATACATGTTAAAGTACTCTATAAAACAGTATAGAGCCACTTCACTTTAGGGTTACTTTTTATGCCGTACCATTAAAAAAGATACAATCTGTGTTTACCTTTGCACAAATGGATAAAGCATTTTAAAATTAAATTAACAGGATAGAGACTAGATTCAATGTTAGAAATCTCAACATAAATACTGATAGAACTCACGAACTACAAGGCCACACGATGTTACAAAATGTTATCTGGGGTCACACAGAGTTACCACGCTGGGATTAATATTGGTAAGGTAAATTCAAACACATGTTTGTCGGTGGTGGACTGTAGTGTTTATCGTGGGTTGGTTTAATTTATTATTAATCGGTAATATTTTAGTTGCAAAGCTGAAGTGTTTCGAGGACAGACAGTTTAGCTTTTGAGATCACAGGAAATCAGGTTCTTGATCAAACAATGTTCTTAAAGGAAAAGCAGAACGCGATCAGGATTCTATGTTCTGTATAAAAGGGACCTGGTCTTCCAAATCTCCTCCTCTCCCAAGCAATATAGAGCGTCAGCGTTATCCCAGAAATGACCCGAACTCAAATGTCTGGCTAGATCAGGAGTCTTTCTCTGCCATGGTACTTTCTAGAATAGGTTCAATAAATAATGGGCAGCCTGTGTGTGTGCAGCATAGCAACTGAAATTGGCATGGGCAGCGCTGTAAGCGGCTTCTGCCACACCTTGTATCAGTGACTCTCTATGGTTTCTGCAGGTGGAATCTCCCCCCCTAGAAATCTCATCTAACTTCACAATTTCACTGTTTTATTCCAGGAAAGCAGGCGTGGAACGGGTATCATGGCAAAGGACGCAATGCTGTGACTCGGGTGGACCGCATACCAATTCATTACTCTAGGTCATTTGGTATGATTTTTTTCCCCTTTTGTAAAAGTCTTTTCAGGTGCTGGTTGAAAAACATTTACAAGTGGCACTCGGTAAAGGATGTGCTGTATTGGAAACACTAGACATGTTTTAGGACTTCTATCGTTCTCATGAATAAGGCACAAAATGCACAGATTCAGGTAAACTCACAGGTGATATTTACAGTACGTCGTCATAACCTGCATGACTCAGGAGAAAATCCTCACATAACACAACAGAGACAACAGGATTGTAACTACCCATTATGTTTTCACAGACCTTTCCTATTCCACCAATTACGGTTCCTTTCATAGATCTTTTGTCCTGTTTTTGTTTGTTTCTTTTTTTTTAATCTCAGGGGTAGGAAGAATTAGGGTGAAAAAATTTTACTCTATGGAGAAAAAAGAAACCCAATCAGAATCAACCCTTTCCAATGTGTCCGAGGTTAAATAGTGACTCAGGTCTTGGTTCACAGTGGCCAGGTACGTTTTCCTACTCAACACTGGTGGAAAAACCAAGGGCACCTCTTGATAGCTCTAGCTCCGTAAGCTGGCAAGACTGGTATAAGAAGTTTTAAGGGATAGCAGCACAAAATTATGGAACTCTTACATTCTGGCATTGGGCACCACCACAGAAATGGAGCTCATGTTTGAGTGTTATAGGAGTCCGGGTTGTAGCCTCTCTCGGAACTGGACCCAATGGACTGCTGGAAGAAGAAGGGAGTGTCTCTTATTCAGTCAATGTAAACAACGCCATAGCACAGAAAGATGCAACCGTCATCTCCACGCACCCTAGTGGGTACAGAATTCACTATCTCTCTCTCACACACCCACGCGCACGCGCACACACACACACACACACACACACACACATATCTGAAAAATGCTCATCCTACAGTTGGAAAAAATGCTACAGTTTGGGTCAAAGACTGAATTTTCAGCAAACTGCATGGTAATCTACAAGTTTGTTTCTTTGAGACATTACCATCTTTTTTAAAAATTTTTTGACATTTGTGCAAGGGCAAGGTGAATGCATACGTAGTTACAGTGTTCACATTGAATGGGAGGGCCACACACAGTGGCAGTCTGAATGGAACCCATTTTCAAGTATTTGTTCACGGATTCCTCCAAGGACCGAATCCGCTCTTTCGCCAGGCCAAGAAGCCCCTCCGAGCTACACACCACGTGAGCTGCGCACAGGAGAAATGGAATGACCAGCCCCTTCCTCTTCTCGCAGGCAAGTACACAGAAGCCTGGCCACGGCGGCTTCATGGGGCGAGTTGTGATGCTGCAAAGTGAGAGAGGTCTCTCTGGCCGGTTGGTTCTCTTGCAAATCCAAGCAGGTGTCTCCTCTGCAGGTACCTGTCAGGGACAGGGATAAAGCCACACAGAGTGGAACGCCGCAGGCCTAGTAGGTATACTTGTTCAGTGGTCTGACGGATGGTGTCTGAGGGACAAAGGAAGGCTTTGGTGGCACGTCAGGTTTTAAGGACGGCGTCCGCTTTAGTCCCGTCCTGGGGAGGGTGCCGTTACTGGTATAGCTACTCTGTCTGGAGAGGGAAGGCTGGAGGTGCACACTCACGGGTGTCCCCTGAATATAGTCCACCTTCGCCCCCGTGGGGGTGGGCACGTAGCCCCCGCGGTTCATACTGGGCTGTCTGGACAGCGAAACACCGCTCTGTGAGTTTAAGTTTTTAGGCATGGCGGAGATAGAGTGCCTCTGGGAGGAGTTTTTGTGGTAACCCCTTTGTCTTTCCAGGGAGGTCATGGGGACCCCAGGAGCGGTTGGCACGTCCACTCGCTTGGTCGGACTGTTTCTGGGGAGTGTGGACGGGGGAGAGTAGAGCGATGCCTCCCGGTTGGGGACTTTGGGGGGAACCTCAGACATCGGCCCCACAGGATCCAGCATGAGGCTCTGGTGGGCCATCTGGATGTCACCCACGATGGCTTTGGGGTTGCTGTTTGGGTCGCTGAGATGCTTCAGGAGGTCATTGAGGGTGTTTCTGGAATCCACGGAGCGCCGGTGGTCTCTCTTGCTGGACGACTTTGTGAGGGGGTGGTCCGCGTGCTGCAGCTTCTTCTCGGCCTTGTGGGCGTTGGAGTTGGAGAAGGAGGTGTTGTAGTCGTGTGTGGCGTTGGGGAGGACAATAGCGCTGGGGATGTGCCCGTGGCCAAGCGGGGAGTGCGGTGGGGGGCTGGAGGGGAAGAACTGGGGGGTCTCCTTCCGGGAAGCCCCATGGCCGTGGGCCTTGTCCGAGTGGCTCTTCATGGACTGCAGGGGCTTCTGATGCAGCACGGGGGTAGACTCCGGTGTGGGGAGGGCGGCCAGCTCGGGAGGCTGGCCACGGTGGTCCAGCACCATGGACTTGGTGTCTCCACTGGGGGCCAGCTCTTTACGGCTGGTCAGCAGGTTGCTGTAGAGCTTCGGAGAATCGATGTTCTGCTGGTATTCCTTAACCGGGCTGTCGAAGAGGCCATTGAGCTTGGCAAAACTGCCGCTGGAGTCTGTGCAGGACTGCGCCGACTCCGCGTCCTTGTGCATCTTCCTGTTCTTCCGCACGAACGTGTCCCGGTAGCAGTAGACGGCGACGCCCGCGATGAAGGCGCCCAGGACGAAGGCGGCGAAGACGCAGGTGATGAGCACGTTCATGTGCACCATCTGGTTGGACTCTCCGGACTGGACCTCCCAGCGCACACCTGCAGCAGGAACAGGATGAGCCTCGGTGAAGAGCTTTCACTAAGTGTCCACCCGCAAGGGGCTTCTACCAGCCCCTGCTACCCGCCATGCTTAACTCAGGGGGTCCAAGAGAGGCCAAGCTCCACACTCTTTTTCTCTACCTACATTCCCAGATACACAGGATGGCTCAAATGGTCAGATGACACTAATCTCCCGCCAATCTGTGTTTTTTCTGTCCTCCCCATCCCCAATCTCTCTTAAACACAGGTTAGAGACCCCCATTTTATACCTAACAAATAGAGGGAGAAGGTGTACATTTTCTAAACAGCCAATTTTAACCCATGAAATGTTTAGTCTCGTGATTTTCTCCTAATTCACAAATCAGGATGAATGGGCAGCTGCCTCGGGGACTAAAGAAATGTATGAATTAGCATAAATATAGGTCATCTTTAAATAATTATGCTAATATATCTGTGCTAACCTAACTAGAATACAAACACATAATTTGTTCACCAACTAAAAACAACCACTTGGTCATTGTTAGCTACAAATATAGATATTCGTGTTTGGTTTGAGTTTTTTTTTTTTTATTCCATCTTGGGGTGAAGCACTCTTGAATTACCTGCTATATTAAAATAATCTAAACAGTATAAGAAACTAAGCTACAGATTAGTTAAGTGATACCATTGTCGGGAAATACTGAGAAACACTTAAACCTAGAAGGGAAGAGTGAATTAGTTTGTAAATACTGGAATTTTTAATGCAACCACAGACATCTAACAGTCAAAGAAATGTTAGCTTCAGAGGTATCCAAGTCTGTTACATGCTCTACACACAGCTATCCCAGAATAAGTCGGTCAGTCGGTTTTGGAAATTCTGTTGCTCAAGGTTAGTACTACGGCCTTTGAATATTAGTTGTTTATACTCAGTTTCTGGGGTTATGAAATTTAGAGGCACTCTGAAAAAACAAAAGGAAAAAGGAAAAAGAAAAATGGCAAGAAACAGCGTTGCTAAAGAAAACAAAGCAGAAGGAGGAATTTAAAACTGTTTATGACGAAAACACATGAACCAAAATCAACAGATGCAAATCATAAATGAAGAAGAAGAGTCATCCAAACTGGGTGGAAACCTGATACCACAAGGAGGGACAGATATTTGGGGGAAGTAATGGATCTCATTAGCTAACTCAGCAGGCAACTGTTTGATAACTACTTCTTCTGCGGCTGACAGTGACAGAGCAAGCAGTGTGCCAGCCTACTGCTGTGACACTCAGGCACCTTGTCACCACACGCAATCGTTCACACTGCATTCTGAATCGAAGCCGACTGAGAGGCTAGGAAAGGCTCTTGGACATAACCATTAGAGTTCTGTTTTTTCATGTTGCAAGGGCGACCCTTGACATTCCAGAATATTCAGCAGTCTCTCAGTTCCTTCAGACAGACACAACACAGACTAGACTGACCAAGGGGCTGCGTCACTCGCCATGTGCCTGAGAGCCTTCCTTCCAGCCCTGTTCGTTTCCAGAACGCGTGCGGACCCAGCCACAGTCACCCCAAGTCACGGTGGCCCATGAGGGGGCAGTGGGGGGGGTCTTGGAGAACCACACACACTTGGAATCAGGTTTCCACTCAGTTACAGATGAGTTCCCTGGCAAGACCTTACCCTTTGGGATACCCGATAAAGGATCAGTAAAATCAGAAGTGTTTGGGTCATCTTGAACTACAAATTTCCGGGAGCTCGTCAGTTTAGGTCTCCAGGTATCAATCACTTTAGGTGTAATTTCTGGGATACTTGCCACTGTGGTAACAGAAGATGAAGATACCTCCATGTCTGTGGTGGCAAACAGATGTTTATTAACATAAGAAGCGTCACAAAGCTTATGCTCATCGGTCTGTAGCATTTGGCAGTTAAGTTTAAGTCAAAGCTACTTGAGGTTTGTTCTAGGAGTCTGCAAAAACACACCTGAGGAGTCTACACCAAATCCCTTTCTTGCAAGAGAAGAATACGAACTAAAAAATGAACAGTAAAGACATATTAAGCAGGTTTCAAGACGAAAGACATTCAGACATTCCTACTCATGCCCAGGTGGGTATTAATTTGACTTATAGAAGAGGTAAAACAAACTGGGGCAGATTACATTGCAGTCCACCCATCCTCTTGTGACAGATCATCATTTCATTTCTGTGCTTTTGGTGCATATTTGAAAAAGTATTTTCACAGGTGGTTGCAAATGTTACTTCCGTCACTGTGGAAGCCACAGTGCGATTTCATCAGAAAGCACCTGGGTCAGCCCAAGGAAGCACTCGATTCAGGACCTGATAAGCCAGCCCCGCCTAAGAGGTCCATCTGCTTTACTGTGGGCCCCCTGACTACCTGTGGGTTTTGCAGGGCCAATGGAGAATTTGCTTGTGTTCCCTTAAATACTTGGGGAGTTGCTTCTAAGGAGTTAGCAGCAACTCATGCAAGAGCAGGAGGATTTACAAGCTGAACAGGGATGCTGGTATACAGGAGATCTGCCATTCTTTTCTCCCCAAAAGGACAGGGAGCCTTTGAAGCTGTGATGGGGCTGAATGCTTAATCTTTTAGCTCTCTCAGCACCCTTCACCAAGCTGCTTTCTCTCCAAAGGTAAGCATAGGATTTTAGACTAAAACCCGTGACCCCAATTTGGACCAATGCAACCATCCCAGACAGACAGAGATGGGGGGCGGGAAGGGTTCACTGAACATCTTAGCACAGCCCAACCCAGCGTGCTTCTTTCTAAAGTTTCTGCCATATCATTAACACCACGGCATTCCAAGAGTCCCAGGATTATCACAAAGCATTCCAGAAGAGATCGTTAAAACTCACAAATACACATTTGGGGGGAATGTGTATTTGGTTCCTAGGTCTTGGGAAGGTGAGGAGGGAGGGAAAACATGAAATTCTGCCATCCATTCAGGATAGATGGCCAGAGGGATCATTCACGATGCAAAGGGGTGCCAGGGAAAGAGAGAGGGGGGAAAGCTAGGGTGGCGTGCGTGCAGCGGGCATGGGGCTTATGTGGACCCAGCTGACTTTTCTGAAGGGATGTGCCCTGGTCGATGATGGACCGTTCGCATGCTACACAGGGGTGAAGAGCTGAGTGAGGAGAAGTCTTTTGGTGCTGTCAGGGGGTCATGAGTCAAAGCGGAAAAATGGAGGTTTGCCAAACTGTGCCAGAGGAGGGGAAAGGGGGCTGAAAATGCTGAACTCAAGGAAAGAAAAGGTTGTTAATTCAAAAAAATTAAAAAAACTAACCAGAGGTTGGCCCGCCAAATATTTTGTAATCTGGTGTGGCTGAAGTAGGCAAAATTTCTAAAAGAATTAAAGGAACAAGTAATCAGTGAAAAGTAACTGAAAGGAAAGCCAAAAATAAAATGAAATGAAATAAAATAAAATCTATGAATTCCCATTCACTAAAAAAGCCAAAAGAAAAGACTATACACTAGAAGATTTACCTACTGATTAGACTGCCTTTCTCTAGATTTGCTACAATATTGTCAACAGCAAAGGAAAAGAAAACGTAAGATTCTAGGCAACTGCACCCCCAGGACCAAACGGCTCAACTTTTGCGAGGTTTAAGCTAAACGCTAGGTGGTCACGTGTCCGCGTCCTCTACCAAGGCTGCTTGTAAAACAATGTTCGCGTGCAAATGTGGTCAAAAAGAAGCGGTGGGCGGGACGGAAGGTGGCATCTTACCGTGGCAGTCCCCTAGGTGGGCCGTGTGGCCGAACTCAGTGTCCTGTTCGTACCCTCCAGCGCTGTGGTTATGGAAAGCAAAGAAGTCTTCGGTTAACAGCCTTCATAGGACCCCGGGGACAATGGAGTAGAATCAAGAACACAGACTGGTTAGTAAGAAGGGGCAGAGAGAAGCAAAGGCCTTGTAGTGAGACTTGCTAATAAAGGGGCCTATTTCTATTACAAACTGAGCTAGGATGTCTATAAGCAGAGCAGAAGAGAACTGGGTTTTTCTCTGTGACCATGTCCCTTGAGTATTGTTAGCTCTATCCCCACTTCTCTTGGTTCAGATTTTCTTCTTATTTCTATTTCTTCTCCCATATCAGAAAAAAAATAAATAAAAGGGCATTTTTCTAAAACACCTGGCTTTCAAGACCCCGGAGATGAAGGTGGGTGGCGCATGTGACCACTCATACTTACAGCATTCCCGGGGTCACTCTCCCACAGGCCCCCTGGCTCAGCCAGCCGCAGTATGGGTCCCGAGAGGCGATGCAAGACCTGCACACAGCCAAACACAGTGTCACCCGGATTTTCTCGCCATCGCGGGTGTGCACAGTACCAGGCCGCACGTAAATAAAGAATGCACACCTGTAACCCCAGCACCCTGAGAGGCTGGGGCAACTTCAAGTCTAAGCTGGGAAACTTAGGGAGACCGTGTCGCAAAACAAAACGCAAAAAAGGAACCGCTATGTAGCTAATTGCAAAGGCCACTGGCTCAAGCCCCCATACCACAGCGGGGAAAAGGCTCCAAAAAACATAGGCTTACTTCTTACAGGATCCGTACCGCTCACAGCGGCTGAGGGGTATTCGGATGACGCAGCTCGAGAAAGCCACGAACAGAGCATGGTGATCCGTGTCCAGCTGTAACGCGAGGACCTTTTTGTCTTCCTCATTCTCAGCACTGCACCTATTTTACAGGAAACATTTTGAAGTCACAGGTGCAGCCAGGCCAAAGTGACGCAAACCTCACAAGCCAACACTGTTTAGTTTTGCAATTCCTACAAGCTGGGGCAGTCTTAAAAAAATATCCTTAAAAGTGAAACAGGATGTACAAAGCTTGGGAAGGAATCACTCCGTGATTCATCTTTGTGGCTATGCAGGGCTGCTCAAATCCCAGGCTGGACAAAGGGTTTTCTGAAGATCTCACTCCTATTACGAAGGTGAAAGGGAACTGTATTTATGGAGGATGGAGGCTGTAAAGAAGGATGCTCCAATGCATTGAAATCCTTCCTGCAAACTGTTTCCAGACCTCTCTTTAGCCTCCCTTGTTTCATTTCTCACACGTATTTCATGTCCATTTTAACCATTGCAATCACCTTTTTATCTTTATCTCACTGACTGACAGAAAGTGCCAAGCCATCAGGAACATGCTTGGTGCATGTGCGTGCTTAGATGCTTTCTCACACGCAGCCTCCTGAAATACGCCTGCAGGAAAGGGCAGGAGTGTGCACAGGTTCTCATCCTCCACAGGTGAAAAACAAGGCTGCAGACTTTTTTCCTAAACTTCTGGACTGTTCACCTTCCTCACCCTCATAGGCTCAGGAAACAGAACAGAACAAAAACAGTCAAGGAAAAAAGAACACAAAACCCAAATATGCCAAACTGCAGCTAAGCGAGAGGGCTGCAGGGAAAGGATGGGATGAAGCACGCCCCAGAAACATATGAGCCGTCTGCTTGGGAAATCCACCTACTTGGCCTGGTTGTAGGCTTCGATCTCTTCTAGCAAGACGCTGTCATTCAGAGAGAAGGTGGTGGTCTTTGCCAGCACTTTCAGGACCACCCCAGCCTCAGAGCCGACGAAGATGACAGTGTAGTTCTGGTGGGGCCCTGCCGTGTGGTCCACAGCGATGGCCGTCAGCCTGTACCTGTGGGAGGAGGTGGCTGAGTCACCCTCAGGTGGGGAGGGGACCAAGAACCCCAGCATGCCCAGGGCAGGGGTCACCTCTGCTTCCCACGCCAGCTCACCTGACACGTGTCTTGGTGAACCAGGGCTCATCAGCGATGAGCGGCACAGCAGCGTCCATCAGCGGGTGGGACTTGATGAAAGCCAAGGTCTCGTCGGGGAATTCGATGGAGGTCTTGTATGCCTCGGCGAGGCCATGCTTTGCACAGCACCCGGGCCTAAAAGGAAGACGGCGTCCCCTAACTGCTCACCTCCCCCACAGAGGGTCCAGCGAACAAGTGCCGGATCAGGGAGAAGTGGAGAAGACAGTCTGCAGGACCCAAGCACAGTGCTACCACCCTGCCTTCAGCAGGCTGTCCCTGTTCAAGTCCGTGGGCTGGGAAAAGCTCATAGGGGTCACAGAGGGACTGTCCTGAGGAGGGACGCCCTGCGGCTCTCTGGGGATGGATGCATGCATGGATGTGTGGATAGATGGATGGATGCTTCCTGTGGCCACAGAATTTTATTCCAAGCAAAATCCTTCTTGACTTTTCCTTTACCTTGGCTTTGGCACTTTGTCTTCTGGGACTGCTGTCCAAACAGAATCCGGAGTTTTCTGTTCTTTAAATCGCCCTTTGAATACTTTCTCGATGTCATCCATGCTAAACGCACAGACTGCAGAACCGGGGATGCTGCAAAAGAAGCAAACCCGTTGGGAAGAGGCTGGGGATTAGGGGCCTGGGCTTGGTCCTGTGATCGAGCTCAGAGCAACTTCCGAAGCCCCAGGGACCTGTCCTCACCTGTTGAGCTGCGTGGTAAACACCCCGACCACAGTGGGGACCCCGTTGATCTGTATGATGTCTGTGATAGACTGCAGAACATCGAAGTAGAAGAATGAATCTCCGGGCACAGAGCAGTTAAGCCGAGCCTTCAGAAATGAAGTCCAGTGTTTGTCCAGGACCCGCTGGGAGCCACCCATGTCATTTTTACAGATGCGGGCCACTCGGGAATAGACAGCCTGCCCAGGGACAAAAAAGTGAAGCAACAGGTTTTAAACAGGGGAGAGGAATGGAAAGGAAGAGCTATTTATCAGAGGGATCAAAAAATGCTAATGGCATCTGGTACAAAAGAATCTAGCAGCCTTTCCCCTTAGGGGTCTGTACAGTAAGAATGTAAACTACATCTACCTTGGAGGAAAAAAGGGTAATTTCCTGTTCTGCCAAACATGCTCCCCGAGACACGAGCTATCTAGTCCCAGTGCTGAAGGAAAACCATTCCCTCACCTGTTCTCTGATTTTGCTTCCCATATTGTTAATGAAACATACTGGCTGTACCCTGCGCATAAAGTGGTCATGAAGCTTTAAGATCATGCTGCGTTTTCCCGAAATACTCTAACTGGGGTAGGAGGTCTTGTTTTCCAACCGCCTTTTGACGCTGCAAAAGATCTGGCTATCAATGGATTTCTAAAGAGGAAAAGATGCCTCCAAGCTCAAGGGTAGCTGTAGAATAGTCTGTATGTGACAGAAAAAAAAAATGGGAAAGCCGTTCACAGCCAAGGCTGCTGTTTCTACTCTGGCCATTGTTCAGGTGTTTTCCAGCAAAGATTCCCACAATAAGCAGCCCAGCTCTGCATTTGGCCTCCCGTGCACCAAGCTGAGTGTGGGAAAGCAGGTCAGGAAAGCGTCCATCGAGCTGCCAAAGTGGTCCCAATTCCACATGATGCAAGTCCACAATACCTGCAGATACTTGCCTTGCCTAAATTGTTATGTTCTACAGCAATTTCTCGAAAGAAGAAATAGACGTAGTTGCCATATTCTATGCCATGAAGAAAGTGTGGCTCTGAAAGAAAAATTGGAAACAAACTAGTTCCTAAAGGATGCACAATTAGCACAATAAGACCCTGACTACAGGTATGCTGGACAGAAGGTATTTAGTTACATTCAAGGTAGAAGCTCTGAGGAGTCCCGGATGTGGGTGTGTTCAAGCTTCAGGGAACCCAGCATCTTTAAAGTGAGCTAATGGGCTGCAAAGAGCCCTGCAGGGAACTGACCTGCAGCAAAGGTCTTTGTTCCAACAGATTTACTCATTAACCTATTTAACCAGGGAGGAAAAATTCTTATACGTAGAGAAAAAAAAAATCCGATTTCTAGAATCTCAAGAAAAAAATGATTGCGTGCAGATGCGGACTAACCCGTTCTGAGGGTTAGCTCTCTAAGGTAGACAGGTGGAAGTAGACAAGTAGTCGCATTTGCGTTTAGAGTAGATAAATTGGTAGACAAAGATGTCTCTCTGGGTTTGTATGAGTGTGTGCGTACAGGTGTGTGTATGCACACATATGCGTGTAACTGTCCAAGTGAACTTACTCTCCTGAGAGTCCCCCTCACTTCATCTCTTTCCCCAGCGAGGCTCCCACTCACTACCAAAGTCCTGCACACAGTCCAGGTGCCTGGACTGCTCTCCCCAGGGACCCCAGGACACCCCTCTTCCCAGGTACCTTTTATCCACTTGGAATCATATCTGATTGTACGAAGGGCAGACCCATCACCCATGCTTCGATAAATAACATGGTCACTGGACAGGAAGTCAGCCACCGTGGCGGAATACAACTTGCCATCTGAAACCCAAGTTATAATTTGGTAAAATCACTGTAATTATCCTGCAGGGCATTAGCCCACGCAGCGGGCTACAGTCTTTGTGTCATGTTCACCTGTATCTCTGGGATCCCTGTGGACCACCCAACACCTGACGTTGGCTCTCTACCTTTGGCAGGCTGGCCCACGGTGTGACCTAATTTTCCAGATGAGGGATCTAAACACTCAAAGTTAACCAACTTATTCAGGGTCACCAGCTTAGTTAACAGAACCACTTTTCAGAAAGCTTATCACAGTCACTGAAATCTCCTTGCTTTTAACTTTGTCTTTTAAAAAAATCTGTTCATAGATTTTAGCCTTTGAAATGCTTGCACCAAGATGTCTATCCAACTGGTGAGCTTTTCTCCTTCCTTTAAATTCTTTTTGTACCTTCAATGCCATTAATCATTTACATTCATTACACTAAAGGTTCTTACCAGCAAAAAGGGCAACATTGGTTTGTCTGGGATCAAATGGGCACCTTGCCAGGCCATTAATTTCTTCCCCATCATACTCTAAGGTATTCAGCTACAAAAGAAAAATAAATAGCTGATGTCACATCTGTTCAATGTACCTGTTGGAAGACAATATTGCTTTATTTGTATTGAAATTCTATTTATGGAATTCTGTTTTTATTTTTTTATAGCATTAGAGAAAAAAACAAATGACTGAGTTATAGCAGAAAGGGATTCAACTCCAACAGCATTACCAGGGAAGGGGGAAAGGCTGGTGGAGAAAGCAGCACATGTGAGATATGCTTACCCTATAGTATCTGCACATAGGGTTGAAGGCATTGGTGCCACAAACGAAAACCACCTCGTCGTTTCTTGGAACAAACACTTTGATGAAGTTGTGGCATTCGTCCTAGAGAAAGTAACCATTATGTTGCTAGACTGCCCACATGCTGATGTCGTGGGATCGAGCTCAGAAAAGACTAAATCCAGCAGGCACTTACTTTATGCTTGCCTTTCATAGCACAGTTCTCTCGGTCCTGTTGTTTTGACCGCCATGTCAGCTTCTATATTAACCAAGCAAAGTCAACGTTGAGATTTTAACTGGGAACATAGCACGGAGGGGTGGGGCGTTATGCAAATTCTTGTAGAATGTAAATTATTCTGGAGGTTATCATTACTCACCTTGCTTGGTACGACTTCCGTTTTGGGAATTTCATTTAAATTTACCGAATAAACTTGATCCCTTTTGGAAAAAAAAAGAGGCAGAGAGTCAGATCACGTGAATGTACAAGGATGGTAAGCCACTTCTGATTTTATTTTTACAGATCTGCTTTGATTGTGTGTTGGAAATCATCTAGATTTTCTCTGTCTCAAACAAGTCTAGGAAGAGTATTTTTGCATTAGTGAGTTACTTTTCTACACACTGCTGTCAGGGAGCAAAGAAAGCTTTCCTTTCCAGGCAAGGGTCAAGCAGCTACTTGGTATTAGCATAGGTATCTATCTAATATTTGCTTGAATAATTCAAAGTTAAAGAAGAATTTTTTTCCCCTTGCTGCTTTAGGAGAAAAGAAAGGCGTATGATTTCTGGGTGGCACTAATAAAGTGGCACTACTGAGGGCTTTGACTCTGTATTTCACTCACAACAGTGACTCTTCTGAGTGAATATTTTTGGCTACTTGCAATTCTTGATCACTATCACATATTAGTTTTTTATGAACTAGACACATTAATGCAAGCACCACAAGAGAAAAGAATTTTAATCTAATAAACCAACCAGAGGAAAATTACCTGCCAGCAATATAGAGTGTGTCTCGGATTTTTGACATCAGCTGAAAGTCCAGCCGGTGCTGCGATTCGTTGCCTGAAGGGCGTCCTCTGAAGACCGGATATTGCCTGGAGTCTGCAAGCAAAAATGGGCTCCACCATCAGTCAGGATTATGGAACTGAAGAATCAATAGACAGCATTGATTAGCTGTATATACTAGTTGTAGAAGGGTTTTAACTAAATTCCTCTCTTAAGGTCTTGAATATAAATGAACAAAGGCTGGTGAGTGTCAGCAAATGGTCTTTTGCCTTTTTACGGAGAATACGTAACCTATTTCTATGAGTTTCTGTGTCCTCCAAACATTTGGAAATGATCACAGGTCAATTAATATGCAAAGCGTTTCAAAGACTTGTAAAAATCTCTCTGTGTGAAAATGGAGCAGAGCAGGCTTGGAAAAGGGAAAGGCAGAGAGAGAGCTTCCTGCTTAGGGAAGGAGACTGCAGGGGCGACTTACAGTGGTAGTCAACCGTGTTAAGGGGCTCATCATCTTCAGGAAAGCTGACTGCTCTGGACTGGGAGGCCCTCAGGAGTAGCATGTAGACACAGAGCAGGAAGAGCCTCATGGTGGGCCTGGACGACGTCACAGCAGCCCAGCCTCACAAATCCCGCTTAGCTCTCTGAAACACAGAAGCAGTTCGGAACCATCTCTCAGCTGGGTTCAGACTGATTGCCCACCTGCAATCATTCTCTTTGCATCCCTTGCTCTTTCCAAAGCTTGTCTGCCACCAGGAACACTGGCAGGGGCGGACCAGGCATCTCCAAAACCACAGGAGAAACAAGGCAGCGTGCCCAGCATGGCTAAAGCCTCTGGCATGCATGCATACTGACATCACAGGTGAATTTGCCAGAACTTTCGAGGCAATTCTGCCTGTCATTACGGGAGAGTCACTGGAACCACCAACAGAAAGGCTGGTTGTTGACTTGGCAAGGAGACGGGCAAAGTTGGGATGAGAATTTTAATTAAACTCCAATCTGCTTCTCTTTCCCCAGGCCTGAACTCCATCCAACACAGCCTGTCACTGTCCCCCAATAAAATGTCCAAGCTATCTGGAAGCTATGCAGAGAGCTGGTGGCTCTGTCAGCCCTCGCAGGCTCTTTGCATAAGGTTCACTCTGTTCCTAGCATCACCATGCCTTAACTCTAAATTCTCAAGAAAAGTGGTTCCAGAAGGCATGGAAGACCATCCTGGACACAAGGACACAGTGACCTTGAATCAAGATGAAAGACAAGGGAAAGAAATGCAAGGATTTCACAATGACCAATCAAGCCAAGCAGGGAGAGCCGGGGCAGCACAGCTGATACCCAGCCACTGGGGACATCACGGTTTTACATAAAACCATCTGGTCACAAGCCAGTACCCTAAGCATGCCTGGCCTCTTAGCTTTATTGAACTTTAGTGCTGTGGGGAACCCTGGGGACCATCTAGTCCAACCCCCTCAATTTTTCAGATGGGAAAATTAAGAGCTAGATAAATGAAGGGCATGCAATGAATTTCATGGAGCTCATGAGGGTAAGATTAGAATCCAGACTCAATCAGCTGAGTCCTCCCTGTCCAGGTTCTTTCTACAAATTAGATGGAGAAACTAAATGGCTGGGTTTTTGTCTTTCAAATAGGGGAAAGGGCTGGACTGATTCATCATCTATTGAAGTCATGTTTCACAGATGAGAAACTAAACATTAAAGATGTACAGTTTATTGCACATCAATTCTTCAATAAAGCTAAAAAACAGCATTAAATTATATAATGTTCATAATAAAAAATTTAAAAGCGCTTTGAACACCATCTACTTATTAAAAAGGGATATTAGGGCTCTGCTGGGCTAATGCAATGGTCAATTTCAGGAAATGGTTAGTGCTTGTCTTTCCAATAATACCATCCTTTCCCCAGCCAAAACTGTCCTTTCTAGCTACCGCACGATACAGTAAAACATTTACTAATTCTCAGTTCCCTACACCTATGGGTTTTCAGAGAAATCACATAGAACAGTAAAGAATTACTTCAGATTCTGGGGGAAATCCAACCACTCAACCACGTACTTACTGTGCTGCTTTGTCTCCTTAAAATCATACACACAGCTTTATGTACACCCCTGCTAAGCGGAATTTCTCTAAGTGAAGCAGAAGTCAAGTACTTGTGAGTTTCAGAATCTTAGTTTTGCAAGGAGATAATAATTTGCAATGTGATTTTTTTTCTTAATGGATGATTGATCCAACAGCAAGTTACATCATTAAAATGCTACCCTTAGCATGGTAGATCGGAGCCTAGGAACACACCATTTTGTACTCTGGTGAGAAGTTGTGAGGACCTTGAAGTCATCGGTGTGAGAGAACTTCACTAGTACTAGAGCTTGTTATCCTGGTAAAGTTTCTTCAGCCCTGCAAGTCATTAGTTTCCTTATTCGTAGAATGGGGATAAGTAACAGAGCTTCTCCTAAGGAAGAAAAGGAACCACAGATTGGCCTCTGGGCAAAGACATTATCTAGGGTGACCTGATTGACTTTAAAAGTTGAGCAATTTAGCGAATGAGAATGCAATGGATGGAGGGGAGAGGAATTTTAAAAAGAATTCAGATGTGTAATGTGCATGGACCAACTCCCCGAAATGTAATCATTATGTACTCCAAACGTATACCAATAAAAGTAAAAATTTAAAAAGTCTGGGGGAAAATGTCCTAAAGTAAATCTGGTTCATTATTTTCCTCACAAATAAAATAATTTTTTTTTTTGAGACAGGGTCTCACTGTGCAGTTCAGGCTAGCCTTGAGCTCACTTTGTAGCCCCGGCTGGTCTTGAACTTGCAATGATTCTTGTGCCTCAGCCTCTTGAGTGCTGGGATTACAGGTGCACGCCACCACACCCAGCTGAAATGGTTATTTTAAAATAGAAATGGGTTAGACTTGGCATAAACTTTAGAACTTGTGCCAATTTATCAACCTGGAAGATGAAGTTAAAACCATTATTGCGCTTCTGACACATGAACCACACTGGTTCAGAGTTAGTGTGTCACGCACGCGTTCTCAGCTGTGCTGAGAGATGCCTTTTCATGCCTGCCACTTCTCTCAAGCAGCATTTCCTCGTCTTACTTTCCCACAGTGTTCTCCCATTTTTCAAGACCCGAGAAAGGTGAAGCAGAGCACAAGGACAATAGTCACTCTGAGGCTAGATTCTGCACTGATCTCAAACTCCATTCTCTGGATAGAAAGGAGGTCATTGGATCTGTCTGCTGGGCATCAGGAGAAAGAATCAGAACCATTCATTATTCCTCAGGAAACATGGAAACAGCTGCATGAAAATGGAAGCACTGCTCTGTGCGTCTCCCTCTGCCATGAACGGCTCCCTCGGGGGAGGCAGACTCTCCAGGATTCCAGCCCCATCTCTCTCCAGAGAGCAGGGAAGGCTAGGGTTCATCTGTCAGCCTGGGACTCAATGCTGACTCACTGGCGAGCTCCGAGCTGTATCCTAGCTATCATTTCCTGTAACTCATGCATCTGACACTGCAGAAAGTACTTCTCTCCGCATCCTGCCCCGCCCACCGAATCCTCCACAAATAAAACCCCACCACTAACTTCTTCCTGTCCCCACATAACGCTTTATTACAAAAAAAAAAAAAAAATACTCCCAGATTTGCCATAGAAGTTATAAATGGAAGCACTTTATGTTACACATACATCAAAGTGAGGCCGAGCAGGAGCAGGAAGAATCTGGAAATGCTTGAAAGAAATGTTTTGGGCAGGGAGATTACCTACGCACAAAGTGCCCACTCTAAGGAAAATCCTCCAAGTTCCAGAGAGCAGCGGACGAGTTCTGTGGAATGAGGGCGAACTGTTGGAAATGCACAAGGACCTTGGCGTCAGAACAATAGGAACTCAAACTTCCTCGCGCGGTCTATTTCTAGGCTCTGAACCCTGTTGAAGATTCAGCTTCCCCAAGCGCAAGAATAGTTGTCCTTAGGACCTCAACATCTTCTTAGTTTTAAATGAGATAAACCATAGAAAACATCCAACACAGAAGACTGCTCGCAGTCAATCTCTAGTGAATTTTAGTAAATTTACTAAATATAATACTAGGACTCTTAATGTCTGGTCTCTCTGGCAGCAGAAAAGGAGAAATTTTTAAGTAGTAATTTTCACTTTTTTCTTGTAAAATTGTTTGCAAAGCTGTGCGTACGTGTTATCATAAGAATGACAAGCGTTTTTCTAGAGGACAAGGTATAGCTTTGTAAATGTAGACGTCTCCAAAAAGCAGGAGCACCCCTCTTGCCACATGCAAGCTTACATTGCAGAGTACCCCCCACCAAGGTTAGCCCTTTCAGTCAGAGCAGGCGTTTCTGGTAAGCAGGGTTTTCCCATTTGTTTTGTTGTTGTTGTTGTTTTGGTATTTCATTCTTCTATACATTCCTGCTGTTACATCTGACAGGAGGTGAAACGGGATAAGCTGTACTCAGCCCTGGATTTCACCTTGCGGATGTGCTACTACTTAAGGTCTCCACACAGGAGTGTAGCTATAAAGAGAAGCTGTCATTGATGCAGCAGCCTGGAACTTAGGGCCCACCAAGGGGTACTACTAGGAAATACACAGAGACTCACTTGGACCTCTGAAAGGCTGCAGGATATAAGAGAAGAAACACCGGAGGGTGACCAAGCCCTACAGAATTCAAACCTGATCCCCATCAAGCCAAGTTCCACATGGACGGAGGTCATCTTTACCTATTCTAGCTGCCTGTCAAAAGAGATAAGGTGAACTATGTCAAGAGAAAGACAGTATCGCCCAGATAACAACTTTTAAATGCAATGCACAACATCCAACCAGTAAATACTAAGCATTCCAGCACTAAGGGAAAGGCAAAACAAACAACAGAACTAGGCCAGGGGGGTAACTGAGACCAGGCCAGGAGTAACCAAAATAGTAGAGTTATCAGAAATATGTTTTAAAAGCAACTTTCTATTTATCTCAAAAAAAAAAAAAAAAAAAAAAAAAGACGACAAGGTGGAAGATTTTATTAGTGAGCTGAAATCCATCAAAAAGAATGAAATAGAAACTGTACAACTAGAAATACAATAACTAAAAAGCTCCTACCAGATGTATTTATAGCAACAGGTTGGTCTTCAAACTAGTATATGAGAAAATAGGTAAACTGAAGCTATTACACAGAAATATGGGCCCCTAAAAAATCGGGGAAAAAATCCAGAAAGCAATATGTCTCTACCTATATCCCTATCCATCTATCTATCTCTCTATTTATCTGGATACACAATGATACCTTAAAGCATGAACTCAACTCTACCCACGATTCTGCTCAAAAAATTCATTCCCTAATTCTGGGTGCAACTGAGTTTCTACTAGGTATTATGCAACCATCGTGGAATGAATTCTGGGATTAGACCTGACAAAGCATTAAGTTCATAAGGTACCACTAATAGACAGATAGGTAGAATCTCTGAAAAGCCCGAACATTACAATCCACAACAGTGAAGATAGAAAAACGGGCAGAAGCAACATTTGACAAGATAAAGGCTTTATCTTTTCAAAATTAACCAAAGAACACATCCACATATTTATGAAACTCTAAGGACTTCTAAATACTAAGAAAATGACACTTAGACATCATGATTAATACG